GACAGACTCATACCCAATAAGACTGAGTGCTGTAATAAAATCAACAGGTGCTTCAGCAAAGTGTTACTTTATTGGGTGTGCACACTTATGCAACTAGAATTTATTTTGTGTTCTATGGTGGTAAGTTATGGTAGTAGCAATAAATATACAGCTAAATGTGAAAAAATAGTTTATTTTACCATTTTGGCCAAGTTTTCCTTTGAGAATAGGAAACAAATCAGGAAGCTATCCATTACCATTTACCATCAAAAGAAAGCCCAATTTGTTCTGGGGGGGAAAAAAAAAAACAGCTATAATCTGACTGGATGCACAAACTGGTTGTGATATGTACTGACACATACACTATATTATCAAACGCATTGGGACACCTGCCTTTACAAGCACATGAACTTGGCATCCAAGTCTTAGTCCGTAGGGTTCAATATTGAGTTGGCCCACCCTTTGAAGCTGCAATACCTCAAACTCATCTGGGAAGGCTGTCCTCAAGGTTTAAGAGAGTGTCTAAGGGAATATTTGACGATACTTCCAGAAGCACATTTGTGAGGTCAGGCACTGATGTTGGATGAGAAGGCCTGGCGTCTCCGCTCTAATTCATTCCAAAGGTGCTCTGATTGAGGTCAGGACTCAGGACTGCAGGCTACTCAAGTTCCTCTACCCCAAACTTGTGTATCTATGTCTTTACACAGTGATCCGCACCCATGTTGGAACAGGTAGGTGCCATTCCCAAACTGTTCCCACAAAGTTAAGAACATGAAATTGTCCAAAATATCTTAATATGCTGACACCTTAAGCTTTCCCTTCACTGGAACTAAGGGTCCAAGCCCAACCACAAAAAAAAAAAAAAAAAAAACCACACTATAAATCTCCCATCCACCAAACTTTACACTTGGCACAGTTCAGACAGGCAAGTACCGTTCTCCTGGCAACCGAAAAAACCCAAGCACGTCCATCAGATTGCCAGAGAAACGTGATTCGTCACTACAGAGAACACGTCTCCACTGCTCTGGAGTCCAGTGGTGGCGTGCTTTACACCACTGCATCCGATGCTTTTTGTGTTGCACTTGGTGATGTAAGGCTTGAATGCAGCTGCTCGACAATGGAAACCCATTCCATGAAGCTCTCTACGCACAGTTGTGCAAATCTGAAGGCCACATGAAGTTTAGAGGTCTGTAGCTATTGACTCTGCAGACAGTTGGTGACTTCTGCGCACTGTGAGCTTCAGCATGTGCTGACCACGCTTTGCCATTTTACATTGTCTACCACTTCGTAGCCGGGTTGCTGTTGCTCCCAGTTGCTTCCAGTTTGTTATAATCCCACTAACAGTTGACCGTGGAATATTTAGTAGCAAGGAAATTTCAGATAGACTTAGGGCTTGTTCACACTTCTAATCACACAAATAATTTCTAACTCTTGCCAAACGCCCCTATAGTGTTTGACAGGCATTTGGGAAGCATTTTTAACGCTCCTCTAATGCCCTATACGCGTTTTTAAGACGTTCCCGTTTGTCAAGTGTTAAAACCGCACCACAAACGCCTATATTGAAGTTTAATGGTATTAATGCTCCGCAAACACCTCGCAACCGCATGGAAGGTTCAAGACTGCCCAGCCAAATGCCTGAAGCCGCAAAATTGTCTTTTGGACATTCACTAAGTGCTTTAACAGACATGGATCTTTCAGAAGATCGTCCAGATAGCCTGCCACCTAGATGAATTGAGTTCTGAGAACTGCTGGCAAGGGCGTTAAGAACTTTGTGATAGCAGAAAAAAAGTTGAAGGCCAATGCATCAAAATGAGTAACAAGGAACATGTAGATGGGCATCTACGAATGCCATGTGTTCCCCTTGTCTGAGAAAGGCAATTGCAGACCTAGCAGATTCCATTCAAAACATAAGAATTTGAGGAAATTTGTTGAGGGATTTTACTATCAGAATAGGACAGAAAATTCTTTGACTCTGGCATAATGAGCAGGTCTGTGATTAACCTCTTGAACATGCCTTGTGTTGATACTGGTACAACCACTCCCTGACACAAGAGGTGGTTCAAAGGCTTCTCAAATCTAACTGACCTTTGGCATTTTTTTGCTGATTTGAAAGAAAAAAAAGTGGTGGGGAGGTAGAGTTTTCACACAGGTCTGGGATGTCTGTGACCCAGAGAGATGCAAACTGCAACAGACATCTCCCTACTTTCATGAGTGAGGGTGTCCTTTCAGCATGAATAGGTTTTTTTTGGGCAAAGCCTTGTGCTCAAAAGAAGGGCTGAGTCCTGGATTTGAAATTGAAGCTTGCGAAGAGCATGAAGGTGCTCTACATTTGGAAGAGCAATGATCCCCTGAACAGGGGGGCCTTGGCACCTTTCCTGAGGAAGCAAAACATTTGTGACCTTGGTCATGTATTGGTTATGTTCCTCACCAAATATAGGTCTCTTTAACCCCTTCACACCTATAGTATAAAACAAATCTTAATGCCCAAGCACAATTTTTGACATGTGTTAGTAAAACCGTAACATCACCACAACTACTCTGCACATCCAGGTGAATTATACCTTGTTTTTTTTTCAGGACAAATTGGGCTTTCATTTGGTGGTAAATTTAGCTGTGTGTTTCTTGTTACTACCATAACCTATCACCAAAAGAAGAAAACAAAAAAAATGTTCTCTCTTGACAATCACAGCGATACCATATATGTGTATGTTATTTGTTGCTTATACCCATAGTACAGCCCAGAAACAATAGTGCGCATAACCTTGATGAAGTCATGTGACCCGTGATGTAACGCGTAGGACGGAAGCATGGTGACGTCAATATGGTATGAACAGCAGCCGCCATCTTGGTACACCCAACCTCATACACCCTGTGAGGATTTTGGAGGAGGAGATTTAAAGTTACACACCTTTAAGAACATCAGTATTACTGCTTGCTATGTGTGCCATGGAGAGGAGCCTTCGTTTGTCTTACCACTGAGATCCATCTGGTATGGGATCATCGACCTGTGTTTATGCTTTCTGACTCCTTGCAGTTCGCAGTTGGAAGGTGAGCACGTAAGCTAGGTGGTGAAGGATTGCCCGTTTGTTGGGGTCACTGAGGTTTCATGGCTTTGTGATACACTTTTTGTGTCTTTTTTGGGACTATTTGTTTGATGCCATATTTCTTTGCCATTTTTCCATTTATAATATATTTTTCATGCATTTCATCCACTGAACACTTGATGATTCTGTGTTTTTATTGTATTCACCATTTATCTTTGCTGCCACTTGCTGATTGTTCAAATCACTTTTTGAATTAGTAGTGCAGCACATTTTTGCACATTATTTATTTGCTTTTATATTGATTGCTCACTCACTTCATGGATAAGTAGCGCAGCACCATTTCATTTATACTTTAAAGTATTCAGTCCCCCTTCACTCTCTCAATCTAGTTGTGTTGCAGCCGGATACAAATGAAAGCCCGCTTGGAGTTTGCAAATGCTTTTTTTTTTTTTTACAAACTCCTAAAGGGCTTTCACACGTTTTGCACTGTGGGGAGGCCACTATGCTCTTGGGAATCTACAGTGCAGCTGAAATGTATTTAAACCCTTCTCTGGATCTGTGCCTTGCAATGATCCTGTCGCTGAGCTCTGCAGGCAGTTTCTTTGACCTCATGGCTTTTGCTCTGATACAGTATGCAATGTCAGCTGTGAGACCCCTTTATAGAGAAGTGTGGGTCTAAGGGCCATTTTACACTACATGCGTTTTAATTGCTTTTTTTCTGCATTCAAAAAACGCAAAAAAAAGTAGGTTAAATGGTTGTCAATGTCAAAGTTTACATCAATGCTTGCAGTTGCAGTGCATTCCAGATGCAGAAAAAAAAAATATTAAAAAAGGCTGCTTTTTTTTTTTTACAGAATTGTACTCGAACGTGACAAAACGTATCAAAAACACACTGGAATGCACCAAAAACGCACTGGAAAGCACATATCCCTATTTGAAGAAAAAGAGGGGAAAAAATTAACTGGAATTCAAAAGAAAATATGTAAAAAATGTACTGGAACATGCCACAAATGCGTCTGGGATGTCAGTGACACCAAGTCAGTTCCCCCCAGTGTCAGAATGCCCGCCGCAATCTCACTATAAGTCGCTGATCGCCGCCATTGCTAGTAAAAAAAAAATTTTTTAAAAAAAAATCCCAGTATACCACCATTTGTAAAAACTATAACTTTCACGTAGACCCATATAGGGATTTTTTTTATTAGCGAAGACATGTAGGAGAATACATATTGGCTTAAATTTATGATGAAATTAGATTTTTAAAATGTTTTTACTGGATATGTTTAATAGCAAAAAGTCAAAAATTTTTTTTTTTCTCAAAATTGTCGGTCTTTTTTTTTATAGCGCATAAAATAAAAATCGCACAGGCGATCAAATATCACCGAAAGAAAGCTCAATTTGTGGGAAAAAAAGGATGTAAATTTCATTTGGGTGCAGTATTGCATGACCGTGCAATTGTCAATTAAAGTAATGCAGTGCCGTAACGCAAAAATGGCCTGGTCGGGGGGGGGGGGGGGGGTAAATCCTCAGGAGGGCAGTGGTTAATGAGAAAAACATTAATTTAACCCCTTAAGGGCACTTATACCCCCTTCCTGCCTAGGCCAATTTTCAGCTTTCAGCGCGGTCTCACTTTGAATGACAATTGCGCAGTCATGCAACACTGTACCCATATGAAATGTTTTTAATTTTTTTGAGACAGATAGAGCTTTATTTTGGTGGTATTTAATCACCTCTGGGTTTTATATTTTTTACTAAACAAACCAAAAATTAAACATTTTTGAAAAAAAATGTTTTAGTTTTTGTTATAAAATTTTGTAAATAAGTGATTTTTCTCCTTCACTGATGTGCGCTAATGAGGCTACAGTGATGGGCACAGAAAGGCTGCACTGATGGGCACTGATGAGGAGGCACTGGTAGGTGGTACTGATGGGCACTGACAGGCATCACTGATGGGCACTGAAAGGCAGCACTCATACATGGCACTGATAGGTGGCACTGACAGGCGGCACTGTTAGGCAGCACTAATATGTGGCACTGACTGGTATTGATAGGCAGCACTGACTGGCATTGATGGGTGGCACTGACAGGCAGCTCAGATAGGCACTGATATGTGGCATTGATGTGCACTGGTAGGCACGGATATGTGGCACTGATGGGCACTGGCAGGTGGCATTGATGGACAGTGATAGGTGGCATTGCTGGGGCTACACTGATCATCAGGGCTGCCCTGATGATCAGTGTAGATGTCCCCTCTGAGGAATGCCGATTACCGGCTCTCCTCTCGAGCTGTCACCGTGACAGCTCGTGAGGAGAGAAATGCTGATAACTGGCATTTACATGCAATCAGCTGTGATTGGACACAGCTGATCACATGACCGAGCCGACATCTTCGGCTCTTTCCGTTGCTCGGCGATCCGTTGTGTCCAAGGGACAGCGCCACCACCAATCGCCGTGCTGCGCACCCCCGGAGCTGCAAACGCGCGGTTAAGGTGGCAGGACGTTATATGACGTCCTCCCAGAACGAGAGAATCGCCTTACGCCCGTCATTTCCTTATATGGCGGTTGGGAGGTGGTTAAACAACTGTATCACGCTGCAACATGACAAAACTGAAAAAAGTAAAGGGGGTCTGAATACTTTGAATACATAATGAATTTACAGTGCATTTTTAAAGACCAGTAATGGTTGCTTCTGAAACTGTGTGCAGCAGTAAAGCAAATGTTCTACATGAAGAAAACAAGAGCAAAGTAATACAAATACAAAATTGAAATATTTATATTTAATACTTACTTTGCTTCATCATCATACGAAATGCTTCCAAGTGTTTCTAGTACATTAATGATTGCTTGATCATTTAAATTGAACCTGTGCAACACAATAGAGGAAAAGCAAATGAAAGACCGCTATCTATTCTAGAAAGCATACTTGATTTGTTACATAGGCCCTTCAAGTTTCAACCTGTGTTTTTAGGGCTCAAAAATGCAGTGTCTCAAAGAACCTAACTAAATAAAGATTTCAAAGAATATGGTTAAATCATGAAAAAACGGAACGAAGAGTACACCAGTTTTCAGACTTATAGAATGTACACACAACAGCCAATTTACAAATGATTCAACAATGAAAAATGTCTGTTCTTGTCTATTCTTCACTAAGTTTGCTGGAAAATATACTTGCTCTGAGCTGTCATACATACGGGAAGCAGACTCTTAAGTGGTATTACACCCCAAAACCAAAAAACTAATATATTGCAACTTACCAATCATTAAATGTGGTGGCTGCATTCGGTTTTTTTTTAGGCTTCCCCACCCGCCTCCCCTCCTCGGTTTTCACTGGCTGATTTGGTCAGTAACACCTCCTGTCACAAGGGGAGGACCCTGCTTTGCTCAGCAGGGATCTGTCCACTGCTCGCCTTGCTGAGTAGAGTGGGCAGATGACAGGTCTGTGTCCGCTCCATTTATACAGAGGGGACACAGACACAGCCTGTTCTGCTCTATGGGTAGTCGGGGTAAACAAACCAGCAGTCCATTTACACCAGACTGCCCTCTGATACACTTTTTTTTTTTTTTTTTTCAGATCAAAATTGGAGGTAGGCAGGTATAAGCACACACTAGTCTGTTCATACCATTCGGTCCATGGGAAGACATGGACCATTTTATCAGGTACACCTGAAAAACTGACATGCGGACCCGATCGGATTACCCATGTGAAAATGATTCCTGCCAAAATGTAAAAAAATTTTGAAACTACAGAAAAGAATGATCAATCACATAAAAGTTGATGTGGATTGCTTGCACTTCTGAGATATAATTAGAGCTATAGTTTGAGTGCCTATTCACACAGATCGGTGACTGGCTTTTTTCTGCTCTGAAAAAACAGTCATTGAGAGGGCACAGGGAAAACAATTGTTTATGTGCCCTGCTCACACTGCAATGCAGGAAGTATGGTACAGTGAGCTGCAATAAAATGCAAATATGCCGCTGGCAGTGAAATACGGTGTCACTTTGAGCACTTCATATAAAGATGGCAGGAAAAAAATAAAAAGGCACCTGTTTGATTAGCTGAAACATGCACCACACTGCCCCTAATTATTGGTTTACATTCTCATATAGAAATATAGTGTGTACATGATTAAGATAAAGTGGCACATACCTAACATTAGGATGGGTTTTCAGAGTTTCGATCATGTGATCTTGTTTAAAATCCACCATCAAATCTGCAATAAGCTTAATAAAAAATGTCGATGTTAATAAAATATAAAATAAAGTTAAACAGCTTGAATAATCATGCATTAACCTTCTTGGTGGTCTAACTAATCAATATTTTTGAATGTCAAAGCGGTATTTTTTTTTGCATGGATATTTGTTTTATATTGTAGGCCTGTAATTCTTAGGAATGACTCACTTAAATCTGTCCAAACAAGAATCTAGTAAACATCCTGGGTATGATAAAGTTTGAAACAAGATATCATAAATTATAATATAATAAATTATAAAAATAATAATACATTTAATTCAATAATGTAAATCAAACCAAAAAACACTGAAATTTGGAATAGAGCACAAAGTTCGCACATCACTGAGCTCAGTCACAGAATCGTTTTGGGTGTCTGATGATGAATTTCCCCACAAATCATTATTGCTCAACTCTGCAAGTGATTCTAATTCACTAACGCGGTTTTCTAGCTGGTCTAAAAACCGCTTTTGACCTAAAAGGGACGCTTTTTGGATGCCATGGACGTTTCTCAGTATCCAGGCAAAAAGAACGGTAAAAGTGCAGGCAGGGCACAGAACAAAACACTAGAGACAAAATTTAGGTGAAATGGTTTGATACAGTAATGTAATACTAACAGTTTACAGTGTATTGTGTATGTCAAATTTTAACTTTTTTTGAGTCTCCCGCCGATTCTGCCCCCCGTACGTCCCCAAGTTCGCAGGGAATGGAACCTGGAAGACGTATGCAGGCATCAGCCAGCGGACATGGGGGACACAGCAGGAGGACCTCGTGGGATCGCATGACAAGGTAAGGCTCAAGGGATCGCTGCATTGTAATCCAGAGTGTTGCTCGGGGTTACCGCTTCTGGTACTGATATTAACCCCGAGCCACACTCGGGATTACCACCAGGAAGGTTAAAGAGGAATTCTAGCTTTTCTTTTTACTGAACAGAATAGGAACAAGATCCTGTAGAACATTTCCCCTCACTAACGGAGGCACAACAGAAGAGACAAACTTTTCAAATAGTCACTTTTGAAAGGTTTTTGTGACTATTTTTGTGGCTATTGCTTAAAATTGGATTTCCTACCAATTTCTGTTTTGGTGAACACTTATTCAAGGAATTAAGGGGAACCTTTCAATAAGATCACAATTATCTGACCAACCCCCCCCCCCCCCCTTCATTTAAAAAAAACCTTAAACATTTAAAAAGGTAACGATTATGCTTGAAGATGGTGAAAAATACTGCAGGATAACTTTACAGTTCAAATGTACATATCTAAAAGATTGCTTTATCCTGCCTACACATGGAAAATTTTAGGCAATTTCAATCAGTTTTGGACTGCAAAAATTTACTAAATGGTTTAAGGCAACCTTCTACCAACAATTTCCAAGTTTGTATAAAAACTTGATGGAAAGTTTCATGATATATTTGACTATTTTTGCATGTGAAGCCTGGTTAAAATCATCGGAAAATGTACAATTTTTATGGCCAGCATTTAGCTAAAGATAAGATGATGATCATGAACTAGTAAGAACATGTCTGACGGCAAAAGGCCTGTTTTTAAAAAGGAGAAGCTGCCACTCTCCAATCGCGAGTCAGAGAAAAGCAACATTAGAACATTTTAATAAAAATGTTGTTTACATCACGTTTCCCCTAAAGGATAAGTTGTTCCCATTTCGTAGAATGTTACACCCATTATTAGGGTGTAAAATGTTAGGAAACGACTGGCCCCCCACTCTCTCCCCACCAACCCCTCCACATGTGACAGCTAGCAGGGGATCTTCTACCTTCACTAGCTGTCACAATTTAAAAAAAAAAAAAAAAAAGGATTCTGTAAATGGGAAAAACTACAAGTTCTGATAGCCTTTGCAGCTGTGAGCTTGTAGTTTCTCAATGAATTACCACAGCGCTGTGGTAGTTATTGATTCTTCCTTTCAGAGTGTATCTGCTTTTCAGTACAAGGTATGAGCACACAGATATACTGACAGGTCTGCAGGAGTCCTGCATGGAACCAGAGATCTGCTAATTGCTGGTGCAATGCTTTCCAGGCTTCAAAAACAAAAAATAGTAAATGCACTTTTTTACCTACAAAAAAAAAAATGTGCATTATTTTTTGTTAAAAGGTGAACTTATCCATTTAATGCTCAGTCACATGGACACTATTTTCTTCCCAAAATATTTCAGATCGTTAAACTATTTGATCAACAGTATGTAGGTCCTTTTCCACATGATCTAGTTTGGATGATTCCAACGAAGGTTCTTTTAATGCTATGGCATACATAGGCATGTTAAACACAGGTAACTTATTCAAGCACTATGGCTGATTGCACACTAGCAAGATTTTGAGGACATGCACGCCCCCACCCCCCAAAGTTTCTCCCCTATAACCCCCACACACTGAATCCTACCTTTTTTAGCAAGCAACAGAGTAAACCAAGGAAAGAAAGGGAGGGTGGCATGTGTATGTTACAGTATCCAAAGAGTTACAGATAAATAAAAATTCCTTATGTCTTAATCATACAGTAGAGGACAAAGGCTAAATATTCATACACCATTGGATATCGGCAATCAATGAACACAAAGGGTGGGCAACAAATAGGCAAAAGAGACTGTGCCAATCGGCCAAAAAAGCAACAGGTTCAGAGTGCTGCTGCAAGAAACTTGTGACAAAGGCTGCATTGCAGAAGACTGGCAGCCTCCTGGAAAAACTGAGCATAAACAGAAGATCAGGTGGTTGCCTTTCCATTGACAGCTGGGCCACAGAGGCTGGGTGCCGAAATGCCCAGGAAACTCCCACATATCTGATGGAATAGGCTCGCAATAGCACAGGAGAAGATTGTTGGTAAAGAGTAAAAGCTCCTATAATCAAGTTCCGTATCCACTATGCAATGAGAAATATTGAAACTGTGTGTCCTTTGAGAGGACCCAAAGAAAGAAGATTAAATTTGCTTGATAATAGTGGTAGCTTTAAAAACAGACCTTCACTCCTAATTGCATGCTCTGCCTCCTCCCCTCTCCCTCTTACAAATGTAATGTTTTTTTATGCTTTGAAATGTCCATGTGATTTAATATATATAGGACGTACTAAAAGACCATTGAAAAAAAAAAATTAAAGAGCATGTATATAACATTAACAGAGGGTATAAGTATCATCATCTTTCTCTACATTTCAAACAAAACCACAATAAAGATGCCAGTTCTCTGCAGTTTTGGGGAATTG